GCGGCTTCCTGCTCCGTCTAAATGAAGTTAAAACCTGCAAATCTTTAAAACCTCTCACACATTTGTTTCATAAAGTGGAAATTGAGACTTCCCATTCCTTTATAGATTGAGATTTGTGAAGGAGAAGTTATGGTTTTTTAATTCCTCTCTTCAGGTTTTGCATTGTAAATGTATGTGAAGTTAAAAAGCCTTAAAGTGAGATGAACTTCTCTCCTTCACAGAAGCTCCTGAGCCACCTTATCAGTAGTCCGACCAATACCTCTAATGTCATATTACATCACGATCATGCCTGGCATGCATTTGTCTCCTTAATCATCAGTGCATCAGGAAATTAGAGCTGGGAGATGCTCCATCGTCCATGATGTTCCAATAATGAATGCTGGTACCTTTGCATAGCTCTGTTCATATCCTTTGCCAATTAAAGCATGCCCTTTCAAGTAAGTTCATTAGATTACAGATCTGGCAATGGAAAAACAAATGGCAGGTGTAATAACTAAGCCTGCAATTTAATGCTTCTGGTCTTTAGACAACCCTGTCGATTACCATATTATGCTCTTAATTTTTTTCACACCAGATTGAGGTCTTTTCTCGTTGTCCACCTGAAGAGCAGCGTGTTGTTTTCTAAAAAGTGAAAACCATCTTGTAACTTGGATAATTGATGGGTCTGGAAAGATTATTTTTTTCAGAACCATTTCCACCAAATGTCAAAATGAATTCACAATGTTATTCTTCAGAACCTAGAGATATGCACTGAGTAAATCTACATGTAAAGGACATCACTATGATAAAAACAACCAAAACCATCCATACACTGACTTAAAATTCCAGAGAGGTGGACAAAAAATCCTTTTGTTCCGCTTCTGTGACCCACACTGCTGTAAATACGCTTTACTTGCTCATACTACCTGTGTCCTTTTCTAATGTAATGCTGAATAATCAGGTTTCAAAGATGTATCGAGCAGAGTGCAGCGTACATCACTTTGACATTATCTCTCACTTTGATTTATTTCCACATCCACAAGCAGGGAATTTGTAAACACGTCAAGCCAGCGTGGGTTTAGCCTTTTGATCTGACACATCATTAAATGTGTGACTTTGAGCAGACTTTGTACACAGGTTATGGACAGGTCAATAAATTAGGGCGGTGTTGGGTAAAGCCTTCGTTCAAAAATGGAAAAACAGAGATATGAACATACATCAGACATTTTGCACTGTACTATATGCACTGCAAGTGTCTGGCAAGTAAACCTTTGCAGCCATTTCAGGTTGAAGTTCAGTTTTTATCACAATTTACGACTGGCAAATAGAAGTATAGATACTGTTATACGCTACGTATGGTAAAACACCTTTATTCTAGACACTAAATCAAGTTAACCACGAACAATGTAACAAAACAGATTTTATTTATGGTGATAGCACAAATGATTTAATGGTTCAACAGTTCTATTTGCATACGCACAGGCTTGTTATCATCTGATTGGCAATACAATAGAACATAATATGCGAATGAGTGGCCACAGACCAATGTCAGTGAAATTCATTTTGAAATTGATCCGGGCTGATTTTGAAATGATTCATTATTTAGATGAATGATCAACACCATAATCAAGAGAAACCTCTGTCACATAACATCCAGTGTTAAGCGAGGGGCAGGAACCTTCTCCGTCTGAGTTATGACTCATCTTTCTGCTTCTTTTTCTTCCACCAGCCAAACTTGTGGATATTATACTAAATAAATTACCTATTTCTAAAGATGTAAGTAGAATTGACTGATATAATTTCCGTAATGCTGCTCTTAAATTATTTATAAATATATTTTATCCCCCCCCCCCGACCCTTTTTAATCTCTCAGTTACCACAAAAAAACAATTACAGTCCCAGATGATGGAGCATTCCCGTATTTTTAGTCTCAAATTGCACGACGGTGCGACACTGTGTTGTTCGATTCTGGGACATTTTGTGGCTTTTCGTCAGACTGCGTGAGTGACAGCTGCAGGAATCTGGGAGGATTAATTCAGTCTTTAATGTTTCCACCCTGCATGCAAAACAGTCGAGCTTGTCAGTTAAGATAAGCACAAACTGCTATGAGGGAGGTCATGAGAGAGAGATCAGTGGATTTAAAGCATGGGGGGGGGGGGTGAAGCCTCTTTACATGAATAGTAGTGGTAATGTTGTCATGTTGTAAATATTACAGGAAAATTGGATGTTCATAATGTACCATCAGTGTAAACTCGGCATCCTGTCTCGACACAATCCTAAGCTGTGCCGTCGTTACACAAGACAGAGCTTTGAGGGAGAAAACACACATTTATTCACTCTTTGTTTTCGGTGTTGAACCAGATAAATCGTAACAACAGAAGAGGAGACGAGTGACAGCCATGAATCATCATGTTTAGTCACTGGCTTAAAAGTAAATAGACAAATAAAGGCCGGCTCAAAGACAAAGTCCTTGCTGAATGCTGAATCTCGAGAATAGTTTCAGCGAGGAAGCGTCTCCTCAGCTGGAGATTCAGCTCCACTGAACCAAGGAAAGGCTCAGTGTGCTGGTGCTGCTCAGCCTCTTTTGTTTTGAGGGAAAGTTCAATGTGAGGAAAGTAGTGAGGCTTTGTATTGAAGAAAATCAGATATTCAGGCATCAACTAACAAGAGGATAAAACGTGCAAGAACAAGAATGGCACTCACTAATAACATTTAAATTCACTAGATCTAGATTTTTATTTAGATCTGCACCAAATTGCACACTCTTGAGTTTATGTTCTCGTCTGTTATATAGCAGGATTATGCAGAAACTGCTGGATGGATTACCATGAAACTTGCTGGCAGGATGTGGTATGGGTCAGGAAGGAGCCCTTTGAATTTTGGTGCAGATCTGGATCAGTGGTTGGATTTTTTTTGTATCTTTCTTTAACACTGTGAGATTGGGCATTTTTCAAAGTATTCCGTTTAATAGAGGATACAGCACAAAGACTCCAGGGGAAGAAGTCAAGTTAGCGCCATGTGTCCCCAGACAATCTGGGCCTTTAACAGCATAACTACGAGCTGGTTTAACAAAGACCTGAGCCATACACACTTTATCAAAAAAGGAAGATTTAAGCCAACTCTTAAGGGTGTCTGCAGAACTCAAACTGGAGTTTGATCGCTGAAGGCTTTGGCTCAGCTCTCTACTTTTGGAGACTTCAGGGACGACAAGTCAGCCTGAATTCTGGGAGCTCTGTGCTTTAGTGGGGTGATATTGTACTTTGAGCTTTGACATGATCTTCTTTGTATAAATTCTTGATACAAAAACTCCAGCCTGTAGCTTGTAGATTTGTTATTCAGACTGTTAGAACATGCAGCATACTGTAGATGTTAAATACTAATCCGTCATATTGTGATTTCATGAGCAGAGTCTGATCAAAAGCTCGTTGCTGAATTTCCCATTTTTATTGAACTGAGCTGCGGCTAAACTGATGGAATACAAATGGTCGTAGTCCTGTCGAGTAAATGTGAATTAACATTCATTAATTCAGGATCCATTGAGGGTTTACTCATCACAAAAACTTTTACTGACTCCATCCTGAATTCACGACACGCCGTGAATTAATTCCTACATTAAAACGCTCTGAGGCCTGCATTAGTTCAGCATTACTTACACACAATTTTGTAAGTATCGTGATACGAGTGTGCAGCTTATCAGCGCTCTCTTCATCTCCAGACTCTTATCTTCACAGTATTACAACTAAATAATAATAATACATCATATAAATGAAAAAACACATCTTATTTTGTCTTTTTAAATCAGTGTATCTTTAACTGAAACTGCCTGTGTACATTAAAATCCAATTAAACTTTGACAAACAAAGGAAACATGTGATAATTAGATCTAGATATTGACAATGAGTTTTTAAAATAAAGATACCATCAATACCATTAAGCAACTGAAAAATATATAATTTCCTATTATATTAATTTATGGATTACAGCTTATATTTTATGATTCATATTTTTGATAAAAGTAATTGTATGTTTTTTGGGGCATTTACATTTTATTTAGAAATAACATGTACAAACTATGAAATTAATTTCAACAAAATAATCTATATTACAGATATTGCCTATTTTTTATTTATTTTTACTCGCTTATCAATAATGCAAGGCCTGTGAGCTGCACTCATTTTAACCACGTCACAACTGGCAAGGTAACATTATTAAATCATCAGACGATCGACATCAATCACACTTTATCATTACAGAACCAGCAGAGGAGAATGGACAGGGGGTTATCTACGCTCTCCTTTTTGAAGAAGAGAAAAATCATCTAATCCTGTTTATGTTTTCAAACAGTTCAATTCCACTCTGAAATTCAAAGATCACCCCAGAGGTGCCGGGAGATGTTTAGGCCCACAGCTTATTCATGCGTTAAAGGTAATCAGTCAATAGAGGCGTGCTGCCGCTGCTGAAGCTGCACGCTTCTATTGACAGATTTTTTTTTAATACAAATAAACTTGGGCAGATTTCATACGGGCACAGCCAATAATAAAATGTTGAGTTCCCCAGGATTCCATGTCAGGATTTTGCTGAGCATGCGCTGCTCTGAACTTCAGAAGAGCGTGAAGTCGCTCCTCCTCGGTCTCTGCCTTTTTGAATATCACCACATCTGCAGGCTGCATCCTCCAGAGATGCTGACGGATTCAGACCCGGCTGATTTGCTGACTGGAATTCTCACACCTTCACTGACCTGCTGCTGTCAGGGAGGTGTTGGCCAGTCATTCAATTCATTTTTTTGTGTTCGGGGGATGACGGCAAACCAGACTGGTACAATTTAACCAGTTATCTTTGTACTCTTTTTACTACAGGTACATTTTTATAACTGTGTATTAAAGTAATCAGTGAATACAACAAAATACAAGTTTCAAAAAACATGTGGACCTGATCGTGGATCAAGAAGTCACGAGACTGACAAAAATCACAGAATGCAATTATTTCCATCAATAGCTGACTCCTTCCTGGAATTTCAACCATCAGCGCTGCTAGAACAATGAAGCGTAACACAATCTGCAAAATGTTTTTGAGCCAGAATCGATTGCTCGATTGCTTAACCTTTGTTATCCCAGATTTTTTTTTTTACCTACAATTTTTGGAATCTGAATTTTGCCTGATTAATTCAAGCACAATGAATAATATCATTTGAATATTTTAAACCTTATTCGAAATTCTGTAACTTTGAAAGATAAAAGGGAAAATGGGTTTAATTTGGAGAGACTCGAATTCAAACACACAATTTCATTACTAAAACAAAAAATCATCCACATTGTCCTTTACAGATGCAAATCCAGTTGAAGTCAGGGATGGTAATTTCTCCCTGAAGCACTGTATTTTTTGAAATCTTCTTAACATCTTGATTGCCATCAATAAATAAAGTTGTCTGAAAAATAAGATAATAATCTGGTGTCTGTGTCAGGCAGTGCATGTTCATGTGTTTTTGGGGTGCAGCTGTGATGAGAGGGTGTGGTCTGTTGCATATTTCCAAAGTGCACCCTGCTCTTGCTAGATTTTCCAGGATCACCAACCCGAGCTTTAAGTGTCATTTCAGCCGTTCTTTTTCTTATGTTTTTCTGCCATTCTCCTTTATTCCTGTCAGACATAGAGTTATTATAGAATACATTCATCATTAGAGGAGATCGCATTTGACTGATTGTATTTATGACTGAAGGTTAAAACACTTTATCACCTAATCCTGCTCTGCTGGCCCTCACAGGATGGAGCGAGAGTAATAGGTTCTCCTTCAGCACAGCTCACTTGTAATGCTCCCTAAACAGCAAAAAAAAAGACTTACACTAAATCTTGTTAATAATTCAGCGTTGGGGGAAGAAAACCGAGGCACAGTATGTTCTACATTTCAAAGTGAAATATTTTTATGGATTCAATTAACAAGAGGTTATAATAATGTACGTTTGTTGTGGCAGGAGATGACACCCAGTGAGCATTTGTGAGGTGTCCCGTAAAAAATGAAAACTTGTGCATTATCAGAGGCTGTTTGTCAAAGCTGTGTCGTCTTCTAAGTCATGAATTCACTGAGAAGCCGGTAGAAGAGGGAGGTGTCGTTGGGATGATTTAAGCCCTAAATGTGGATTGTTTAAACAAGGTCTCACTGTTACAGGCCATATTTCTTCTCTATAGATGTAATACATTGCAAACCCCAACAGGTCAACAAAAAATATACTGTGTTTGAGTAAAGACCAGCAACCAAGATAGGAATATAACTCTGTTTGTTAATTCCCTAAGATCTCCTGAACTTTATTGGCTGTAATTCAGCGACAAAGCAGGTTGGGTTGTTGCCAGTTCAGCCGTTCTGTTTGCAAAACCTACAACAACAGCACATTCATCCAATACAGAGGCTGTCTGCTTCTATAGTTTAGAAAATAAAGGTGTGTGAGGAAAATCACATTTAACTGTTTTCAGCCAATGATTGTAGTTTGGTCTGGTCATGTTGGCTGTGCTATACTTGTATTTTCTTACACTGCGTGTGCCTGTAATCACCAAATGTTAGGTTCTGGTCTGTACGGACAAAAAAAACCAGAATACCTGGCAGGTTATTTTTCTCTCAGGTTTTGAAAGAAGCTGCGCTCTACTGGGAATCACAGACTCAGCCACTAACAGTGGAAAAGACTTATGCATAAATGGCATAAAAAACCTGTTATAGATTTCATGGGAATCTTAAGAATAAAAATGTATGCTCCAAATGTCTCAGACCCCACCCCTCCATGTCACTCGTTTTTGTGTAGTCCTGCTCACAGACAAACGACAATGAGAATATAACCTCCTTGGTGGAAGTAATAATAGGGTTACATTTCAAATTCCTGGGACTGATGAATGTAATTAAAAATAGAACAAATCTCATTGTGAAATCAACTTCATCATTATATCTATAGGAGAAAAGAAGAATTTAACAAAAACACATTGCACCTCTTCTTCAACCGCTCAAATGACCATGTCCATCTTGTTTTTCTGTGTTGCTCTCCTTTATTTCCTCTAACCTTCTTCCCTTCATGTCGCAGGTTTTCTGTCCAAGGTCAGTATATTACACTGAGCCTGTCAATTTCCTAAAGTCCAATTATGGTTGTGACCTCTGCTCTGAGCGTGTTGTGAGGAGTCCTTGACAGACCCAACACAATCAACCAGGGAGTCATCATCGTATATCAGACACACTGCAACATTAGTGACAGTGACAGCCCTCATGGCAAAAAACCTTCATTTTATGAATGGTCTCCCTGAAAACTATCCTATTATCATGTTATAAAAGTCATCAAAGTTATATTATATCTACCGAATGAATACCTGTTTCCAAATGGGTTGTCATGCAATAATGGAAATGCAGTGTGTAAGACCCTAAACCATAAATGAGTGACACAATATCTCAGCTATGAATGCCTTTAGATGATGTCATCTTCATTTTTTGCTTCATGCATTACATTTCAAGTAGCCTTAAGTAAAGGAGTCTTGTAAAGAGGTTGTGAAAGCCCTACAATAAAAAACCAGGTTGCTTTTTTTCCTTCTTTTCTCCGCGCGTCTATTCATTCATCTCAAAGCAGAGCTCCTCTTTGGTTTCCTGCTCCGATCTTTATTTCTAGTTAAAATAGTGGAACAGCGAGTTGTGAATGTTGCAGAGTGGCAGTTTCAAAAAAGCACTTTGATTGAAAAGCTGCTCAATTTCAAACAGAAAATGTTGCAGTATAGAGACATATTATGTTCCTGTTTTGGGGTAATCTTAATGACACCACGAGCAGTGTTAGGAGTATTAGGGATGGATTATTTCCCACTTTCTTTAACATTGTGAGATGAGGCATTTTTCAACATCTTCATTGTTTGAAAAACTGAAACATCCTGTGAGATCTTCTAAGAAATAGATTGCATTTCTTACAATCAATCTTTCACATTACAAGAAAACATTTTGTAAAAATTAATTAAATGCGTAAAACAACCAAGTTTACTTCCCTCCAAACTGCCCTCCCTTTCATTCTCTTCAAGAGAATATAGCAAAGAGTGAACACACAATATAGTGTGAGATTTACATAATAAAATAGACAAGAGTGCATGTCCTGAAGTGTTGATGCTACGTGATCAGAGCTCAGAAAAGAGGCACCCTGCAAGAAATGAAAATATGCTGAGTAGAGCAGAGCATTTGAATAAGAAAGGAGTTTTTTATTGCACAATATATTTCATAGCCGTCAGACTTTGCTGTTTGTTGATGCTGAGATAGAAGTGACCTTCTTGCATGTAAATACTTGTCTACAGTTGCTGCCGGTAGATTGTGGATATTCTTTGAATATGTTGCTCAGGTTGTCTTTATATAGTATCTTCACCTCTTCAAGGACAGGCTAAAGACATGACTTACTGCTGGTGTACACACCCAGACCAAAAAAAGTTTGCAATTGACATCTTATTCTGACAGCTTGAAATATCTATCTATCTATCTATCCATCCATCTATCTGTCGCTCTATCTACCAATCTGTCAATACATTGTGAATATTCTGTTACGATCATGCTTTGGGTTTACTTGCATTTATAGTTAACATATTAAAAGAATTAAGCAATGATCAGTGCATGTGGTTTACTGCTGTAGAGTTTGCTTTAGGGAAATTAACAGGAAGTGAAAGTTTTAACCAACTGGGCCTCAGGACGGATGATTTAGTGCTCGACTCTCTGCACTCAGTCGTTATCACCAGAACCAAATATAATAAAACCAATTCTGCTGTTTTCGAGGAGGGAAGCATCCTGACTCTTGTCCCCGGGGCTTCATGAAATAAAACAAACAGTCCCAGTCTTACGTTTCCAGTAACTCTATGAGACACAAGAAGTCCTCAGGGCAACAGGTTGGAGGAGTGCAGATGAGCGTGTGAGATTCGTAGTGTGTCGAGCATGTTGTCAAGTGTTTACTATATGTTATCTTGGGAAGCTGGACAGGTATGTAGACTGTGATTATCCAGAGCTTTGGGGAAATGCTCCATTGATTTCTGTAATCACTTTGAGGTAATTATGCAGAAATACGCTGAACGAGCTCCTTGGGGGATGGTGCAGAATGCTTTCTGTAGTGTGCGACTGTGTGATCACAGCTCCCCAGTGGCACCCGCCGTGCTCTGCAGCAACCCTCTGACATAGAAAAGCTCCAACTCCACACATTAAATATGGGCATTGAGGGATGGATCTTTATGCAACAGAGCAGCATCAAATACAGAGGGGCCCGCATACATTACCGTATTTCTTTAAAGTTTACTTTGACTTCAACACAGACAGTGAGGGAACTGTCAGGCTCCAATAACATTGACAAGTTTTCATTCAATGATCCAAGAACGCAGAAATTAAACAAAGAGGGAGAGCAGTATTTGCAAAAGGGTTGAACGTTTCGGTGGAGGAGGTAGCGCTAATAAAAGCACTTGGCATGCATCTACGATACGCCATCAGCGACAAGCCAGATGCTCTAGGTTGACTCATATATGTCAATTTGCTCTGTCCTCTAATAATATGTTATTATAATTAATCTGTATATTCGTCCCTGTCTGGCTGGTGTTCAGGTATTCTGTGATTTTAGAGCAGTTGGAGTATGGAGATGGTGCAGTCTGGAAAACTTCCATTCAGGAACAAGATGGCTCTGTTTGAAGAGGCGTTGACCAGCCCCAAAGGCCTCCAGGGTAAAGTGTTAGTCTGGGCTTGGACTCAAACTTGTCCACTGAGGATGGGCCTCGTCCGACACTAGAAGATGCACTGAATAGTGAATTATAACTACTAAAAGTAATAGGCACACAAATAAGAATAAAGCAAGTCTATAAGTGTTGAAACCAACACTCACAGCTCCAGTTAATATTTTCCATGACCTTGTTACATTTGCCGAACACAAAGTTTATTCATCATCCTACATGTGGTTTCCCTGGTGATGTCACAACATATACAAAGTAGATGTGCAAACTGGACTATTTGATTAGAGACACAGTATAAGACCAAATATGCATGGAGGACTGAAATGGAAATAACAACTGTCAAGAAAAAAAGATAGACATAAATACATTTATAAGATTAGATATAATGCAAATAATATAGCTGTAATAAATATAATGGATGTGTGATGACAGGGCTCCGGCATTTCTGGCATATGAGACGAACATTTTCCACCCAGCGAGCAGGGGTGATTTTGAGATGAGGACTGCGGCTGTTCCACTCAAGTTGTCACAGAAAGCTGGCAGCATCAGTTCCACTGACACATCTGAAATTGGCTTTGCTCTACCTGTGTGTATACACCGGGATCCAGGGCGACCTTTTGCAGCACGGATCAGCCACAAGAAAGGGCAAAGTCGTAAAAAATACAAAGGGAGAGGAGTTGTAGAGGGAGATCACGTGCTTTTCAATGATCGTTCAGAGCAAAGAGCTTAAATGAAGTGAATATCAATCAATTAATCAATCGGGCTTACACGGTGCTTAACATGAAAACAACCCCCCAATGCACACACACGGAATAAGAAACATTTCAGTAAAAACAGGAACTGATTAAATCACTATCTCACCAATCTTCAGGGCTGTAAGGCAGCCAGACCCGCCCATACCTCCAAAGATGCCCCACCGCCCCATCTCCACCAGCAGGGGGTCCCAGGCATTTAACCTCTGTGACGACCCACTAATCAGATAGAACCATGGAACCCCCCTGGACAAGATGCGTCACCAAGAAAAGCAAGCAAGCCCAGCTGCCCGTGCACCTGCACAACAGAGGATACCAATGTGGAAACACTGGAGACAGGATTTTTATAAAAAGACTAAAACT